GGTGCCCGGAACATCAGTTCCGGGCAAACAAGGAGTTGAGTAGTTTACTTTGGGACTTTAGGTCTGTTACAGATTTTTATCTAGTGTCCCAAAACTAACAAGCATCTTTATCCATTAACTCACATTTAATCACAATGGGGCTGGTGAAAAGGAACAAAGGTTATGCAGTCCCACAACACCCAGCTTCCTTTTTATTTTGAAACAAGGTTTTTATTACCCAGGGTGGCCCTGAAGTTTCCATGCTCTGGTCTCAGGCCCCACCCAGCACACTACCTTCATTATCATTAATACCAGTCTTGCAGGGTGTGGTGGTGCTTACCTGTGAACCCTGCAGAGGCAGGATTGCCGAAAATTTCAAGGTCAGCCTGGACTACAGAGTGAGCTCAAGGCCATCCTGAACTATGTAGCTAGACTCTGGCTCAAAAAATAAAAAATCAGTTTCAATGCTTCTCAGTGTAGCAAATAGAGGCCCCAGCAGTAAGTAGCCTACTCATTTAGGTTTATGTTTGTGTGGGTGTGTGTGTGCACACATGTGCACACACACATGCTAGACAAGTGCTGTGCCACTAGTATACAGCCTATTTGGTAATTTTTTGTTGGTTTGGTTTGGTTTTTTGAGACAGGGTCTCACTGTGTAGTTCAGGCTGGCCTTGAACTTGTGGCACTCTTACTGCCTCAACCTTCCAAGTGCTGGGATTACAGGTTTGCACCACCAAGCTTAGCTCTTGTTTTTTGTTTTGTCATAAATCTAGAGTTGAGTTTTTGGAGAGGCCAAAGCTGAAGGATGAAGCTGGGCGTGAGGCAGGGGGTTCACTGTGAGTTTGAGGCCAGTCTGGGCCACATAGTGAGACCCTGTCTCAAAAAAAGGGGCGGGAGGAGGCCGGGTATTTACCTCAGTGGTGCTGCACCTGCCTTGAAAGTGAATGGTCCTGAGTTTGATCCCTGGTACCGAAGAAAAAAAAAAAAGCTGAAGGATGGCTGAGGGTAGTTGTATGTGCCTGTAGTCTCAGCACTGTGGGAGGCTGAGGCAGGCACATCACAAATTTAAACTCTAGGGCCAGGTGTGGTAGTGCACATGTGTAATCCCAGCACTCAGGAGGCTGAGGATGAAGGATCACAGCAAGGTCAAGGCCAACGTGGACTACATAATGATCTAGGCCAGCCTGCACTACATAGGGAGACCCTGTCTCAGGGGGAAAAAAAGTTTGAGGAATTACATTGAAGACAGAGCAAGGAAGTCATTTGATCAAGAGGTAATTGTGCAAGCAGTATCTGACCTATCTGTCAGATTTAATGTTTTTGATTTTCCTTGTTTCTTTTTTTTTTTTTTCTGGTACCGGGGATCGAACTCGGGTCCTTGCCCTTGCGCAGCAGGCAGTGAAACCACTGAGCTAAATCCCCAGTGTACTTGTCCTTTTGATTGTTACTTTTTGTTTTGAGGCAGGGTCTAGCTGTGTATATACCCCAGGCTGGCCTTGAACCTTGATCCTTTGCTTCACAGCTTTCCCAGTGTTGACATTACAGGCCGTACCTCCATGCCCAACTTTACATGTCCTTTTAAACCGCTGATACACAAGAAAGCAGGATGAGTGCAGATCAGAGCCAGGGACAGTTACAACGTTGAGTAGTAAAAGTGTGTGTGTGTAATGTTCAGTTTCTTGGGAAATACTTAAGTTTTAACTGTCTTGAGTGTTCCTGAAGAGAAGAGGGTAGAGAAAGACCTTTAGTAAAGGGAGGCAGGGAACTTTGAGGAAGAATATTCCCCACCCAGTATCACCTGTGCGGGGAGCTCAAAATTTCCCTTTCCTGGCAGCCCAAGACACAAACTATGAAGAAAGAAGTGGGTAAGCAGCCGGGGATTTAGCTCAATGGTTCTGCTGCCTGCCTCGAAAGCGCAAGTTCCCAGATTCAATCCTCGGTACCCCCCCCCACACACAAAAGGAGTGGGTAAGGGTGAGTCAGCAGACAGCCTGGGGGAAGTGGTGGAGTCATTTTGGAAAGTCCGGGGCTCGTTTTGCACTGACCCTGCACAGAAAGGGGAGAGCTAGAGTAGGAAGCCTTGGCTCTTGGTGCAGCTGGAAGGCTCCAGAGAAGGGTCCTGGGTCCCAATCTTCCAACCCAAAGCTCTGGAGGTGCGCTCCAGGGCAGATGTTTTCACAAGCACCAGCTGATTCCTGGACACGGTGATTGAGCTCCTAGAACAAGACCTGGTACCTTCCACACCTGTGGCTATCTGGCCTTCTAGCTGCTGCTCTTCTCTGGGACAGTGTTTGTCGAGAAGCACTCAGTCCACACGAATTTGTCTTGATTGTCTGAGCAGAGCTTCTTTTTTTGTTTTGTTTTTTTTTGCAATGCTTTTGGACTGAACCCAAAGCCTGTTGCATACTAGACTTGTGCTCTACCACTGAGTTACATCTCCAGTCCTTTTCATTTTTGACACAGGGTCTCACTAAATTGCCCGAGGTGGATTTGAACTCACAATCCTCTTGGCTCACCCTATGGAGTGCTGGAATTACAGGCATGTGCCAAGACACTTTTTTTTTTGGTACCGGGGATCGAACTTGGGTCCTAGTGCTTTCGAGGCAAGTGGCAGAACCACTGGGCTAAATCCCCAGCCCTGCTTGCTTTTTTTTTCTTTATTTTTTTTAAAAATGTTTAAATGAAATGTCACTTCTTTCAGTTCCTTGATTCCATCCATCCAGGTTTCTCACCTCTCTGCCCCTGACCCAGGTTTGTGAATTTATAGGAATTAGGACCCCCCCCTTGATCTTTTTCTTCCCACATTCCTCAGGTGACCTCACCTTCTCCAGTAATTATAGTCCCCTTAGCTAGAGCTTTGCCTTTAAATATTGTACTTTTTGGTTTTTAGTCTCCTTGTTCAGGCTGGTCTTGAACTCAGTATATAGTCCAGGCTGTCCTTGCATTTATGGCAATCCTCTGCCTCATCGTCCCACCTACTGGGATTACAGACATGTACTATCATGCCTGGCTCTAAATACTTCTGAGCCTCTTGTTATCTGAATGTCTCATGTAAAACCATTCATTCATTCATTCATTCATTTATTTATTTATGGGTGCCAGGGATCGAATTCAGGACCTCTTGTTTGCCAGGCAGGCAGTATTAGCTAAATCCCCAGCTTACCTATATAGTTTTTAAATTAACTTTTTTTATGGTACCAAGGACTAAACCCAGGGCTTTTTCACTGAGCTATATCCCCAACCCATTTTAAAATTTCTTTTTTGGTACTGGGGATCGAACTCAGGACCTTGAGCTTGTGAGGCAGGCGCTGGAACCACTAAGCTAAATACCCAGCCCCATAATTTTTTATTTTAAAACAATGTCTCGCTAAGTCTCTAAGTACCCCAGGCCGGGCTCAAATTTGAGATTCTTCTGCCTCACCTTCCCAGAGTGCTGGGATTACAGAAGTACATCACCACACCCAGCTCATGTAACACATCTGATTTGATCCTACAAAACCTACTCCTTGTGCTGGTTTCAGTAATGCCATTTTCTTGAGTTGGGGTGTAGTTCAGTGTAGAGTGCATGCTTAGCATGTAATGGCCTTGTTCAATCTTCTGCAACAAATAATGTCACCTTTGTGTCTCAGGCCCTTGTATACTATGCTTCTTGCCTTTCCACCCAACATCAGCTATTTCCTTGATTTCAGTTCCTCAGTTTACTGTCACTTTCTCCAGGAGGCAATCATGACCCTATTTATTCTCCAAGCACCCTGTACTATTTCACAGAACATGCCTTTTTAGGTATTATATATTGTTCCTTTGCCTTCCTGAGGCATCCAGTAGAGCACATGTCACAGGACCAATTAATGACTATTGTGGCAAGTCAGTGATGAGCAGAGTGCTCTTGAGGAAGAGAGAAATGTGAGACATAAGGGTCATAGGTGGCTTAGTGTATATACTCAGCTCCACTACACTACAGCCATCATACCTCCTAGGCTCTTAACCTTTGGGAAAGCAGACTACTTATTCAGAGGCAATCAAGACTCCAGGGTGTTCTGACAGGAACACAGGTAGGGTGGGGCCTAAGGGGGAGCAGTTTTGCCTGGGTCACCTCAAAGGGGACTCAAAAAGCTGAGGGGATGCTAGGCATAATGCTGTATGCCTGTAATCCCAGCATTTGAGGGCTTGAGGTTGGAGGGAGCAAGTTTAACCCAACCCTAGGCAATTTAGTGATTTAGCAAGATCCTGTCTCAAAATAAAAAATTAAAAAACTCAATGGGAGACCAGGCATGGTGATGCTTGACTATAATCCCAGCCCTTGGAAGGCTGAGGCTGAATTGCTTTGAGTTTGAGGCCAGCCTCAGCTACATAGTACATCCAAGACCAGCCTGAACTACATAGCAAGACCCTGCCTCAAAAATCCAGGCCCGGGATTTAGCTCAGTGGTTCTGCCTCGCAAGCGCTAGGTCCGGAGTTCAATCCCTGGTACAAAAAAAAAAAAAACATCCAAAATAAATAAATAAAAATTAAAAACTCAGTGGGAAGGCCCTGGGTAAAATTCCCAGTACCAAAGAGGAAAAGAAAAAAAAAAAAAAACTGAGAGGAGAGACCTTGTAGCCAGAGGGAGGTTAAATTCTAATGGAGGGAGGAGCCAGTGCAGGTGCTGAGGATCCTTGGAAACCTAAGAGCAGACCATAGGGGTCACAACAAAAGCTCCCTGCTTAGGGCCAGAAGCAAAGTTCTTAAATAGCTGGTTTGGACACAGGAAGGGTTTTGAGTCACCAATTTGGGCAGAATTGCTGGGACCTCAAAACTTCTGACCCACGCTGGTACCACTCAGGTGTCTCTGGGTCTTGCTTGTCCAAGTGTAAGCTGTGCCAAGGTGCTGTGGAGGTGCCCTGCACAGGACAGGTCTGGCTCTAGGTCTGTCATGAGAGATTACTGGCAGCGAGGTCAACAGATGGAGGGGTGGGACCTAACTGGCGGCATCTGGTCACTGAGATATGACTATCCCAGGAGGGCTGGCACCAGATAGAAAGGGCAGTTAAATGTACACTGTTTACACTCTCAACACTTGAGTGCCAACAGTTGGGAAGGACTTTTTCAGAGCAGATAAAAACACTGGGTGGCAATATGGAAAGACGGAGCAAGGTAATGGAAACATAATACTGGATGAGCTTCCAGTTGTGTAAAACAGACTTATGTAGGCCTAAGACTTGGAGGAAATCCAGAATTTGTGAGTAGGGCCCATATTTTGTGAGGGTCATACAACTCGTTCTCAGAAAGAGGGCTACTATTGGGATTAGGTGGCCACAGGATGCAGACAGAGGTTAATCTTTGGGGATTAGGCTCCTACCCCTAGGGCAAGGAGGCAGTAGGCAAGGTGTCCCAGACTGACACTTCCACAGAACACACACACACAGTTCTGTGACACCCAGCACTTTATTAGAGGGTAATCATTTTGGTCTGGTCAGACAGGAGGCTGAGTGGACAGGGCCAGTGCCCATCTTGGGATTTCCTGGAAATCGGACGTTCCTCCATGCAGATTGAGAGGAAACACCGTCATGGACAAAACCCCAGGAGAGCAGCTGGTAACTGCCAAGCCAGGATGGGAGGGGAGCCCTATGCAGGGCCGCGCCCCTAAGTGAGTAGGGCTTTGATGTCAGGCTCAATGTCGATGGTAGGAAAGCGGCGACTGTACCTGCGCACCGGCACACCATCGGGGCCTACCAGGAACTTCTCAAAATTCCAGGCCACGTCATTGCGGCATACCGGGGACCAGATGATGAACTTGGGGTCGGTCATGAGCGCAGTGGGTTCGTCACTGGGCGCCGGCAGGGCCTCTCGAAGGAAGGTGAAGAGCGGATGTGCCTTCGCACCATTCACCTCGCACTTCTCGAAGAGAGTGAAGTTGGGCTCGAACCCACCACCGGGTCGGACGTATTTGAGCAAATGCAAAATCTCTTCGTTCTTTGCGTTTTCCTGTGGAGAGAAGGGCAGCTAGGTTCCGGGGCCACAAGAAAGGGTAGCTTCTAACCACATGATAGAATTTTTCCATGAGTCACCAGAATGGCGCCCTCCTTGCACCATCCAGGGCAGGCCTGAGTTCCAGGCGAAAAAGTGACACGCGCCGGTGGCTTGCTCGGCTTCCTGGCCAAGGCCGCCATCCCGCCCCTCCTGCACCTCCCGCCCGCCGCACCTGGTGTCCAAACTGGTTGCACGGGAAGCCGAGCACTACCAGGCCTCTGGGCCCGAAGCGCGCCTGCAGCTGGTTCATCTGGGTGAAGTCCCGGACCGTGGTGCCTCAGAGGGATGCCACATTCTCGATGAGCAGCACTTTGCCCCGCAGGGAGCCGAGACTGAGCGGCTCTCCGCCGGTCAGCGGGCGTGCGGAGAAGGAGTACACAGTGGCCTGAGCGGCCGCGGCCAAACGACCAGCACACATGGCGTAGGGGACACAAGATGGATCGTTAAGTTAGCCAAGCAGAGACTGGGAGCCCTCAGCCTTTTAACTGGCGGGTCACGTGGCACCTGCACTTTTCCGGGCGCTCAGCTCCTCCCCACAGAGGGTCACGCCTCATCCGGCGCCCACCAGGGTGGGAGGGCTGCCCTTCCCCTAGCAGGGACAGGGAGGAGAGCGCGGCAAGGCGGAAGGCGGCTCCACCCAGCAGGCTGGACAGCGGGAGCTTGTCCGGTCCGGCACACAGGCCGTGCCTGGTTACTGGGATTGTTCTCAAAGCTTCCTTAGCAAGGGTGTGTGTGGGGTAGGGCCTTGGAGAGGGGCCGCTCGCTGCACGGGAGAAAGTGGAACCAGAACTAGCTACTGCACAAACAGTGCCCATCCTGTGCCACGTCACACTCCCAAGTGCCCCACTATCGCCAGCTGCATGGAGTTTTGACTTGTGGCAACGCTGTTGACAGCAGTTACCAAGGCACATTTCTCTGCTAGGAGAGTGTATTTTGTTTTGAGACAGTCTGGCTATGTAGTCCAGGCTGGCCTTGAACTCCCAAGTGGGCCTCCCGCCTGAGCTGACCCAGTGCTGGGATTGATTACAGGTGTGCACCACCACAACCGGCTCTGTGGTTTTAGGGACAAATGGCTGGGTATAATGGCACACTGCCTGTGATTTCTGCACTCAGGAGGCTGAGGCAAAGGATTGCTGCAAGTTAAAGGCCTGCCTGAACCACATAGACCTTGTCTCAAAAAACAAAAAAAGAGCAAATTGGAGGAGGGTGGGCAATGTTGAGGCATACAGGGCTCCAGGCTCCGAGACAGTTCTTTTCCAAGCCTCACATCCAAGCCTCTGGTCTTTTCCTTTTTTTTTTTTTTTCCTGGTACCGGGGATAGAACTCATGACCTTGCGCTTTAGAGGCAGGCACAGTGCCACTGAACTAAATCCCTGGTCCCTGGTCTTTTCCTTTCTATCCCTAGTGCCACACTGCCCTTACACAGGTGCTCTGCAACAGGACACTCTGACAATACACTGGCTTCCTGAAGTGGAAGTTAACAGCTTGACAGGGCAAAGAAAATTCAGCCTAGACTGTCCTCTTCAAGTCTCCCTGGGGCTTCTTACCCCCAACTTCACTGACACAGGAGTTACCTCTGTGCTCTTGGGGAGGAGCCACACTAATGCTAGATGATGTGTAGCACATAAGTGGTACTTTGCACCCTGAAGGAACCTCTCTAACAATGAGTACTGCCAGGAGGGCCGAGTCCTTCCACCCTCCTGCCCTTTGCCCTAGAGAAAAACAAAAACACAGGATACAGGAAGTTTAGAAAACTGCCTTTATTCTATTAGTTGGAAAAATTAACTGGTACAGAAAAAAAGTTTAGTCAGCTGGAGAGAAGAGAAAAACCGAGTGCCATCCCTGAGAACCAATGGCTTCTTGGGGAGGGCACCTGGATAGGTGACAAGAAAGGAGCACTGTGAATAGAGCCAGGCCCTGCAGTTCAGGTGAGAAAGGCTATGCCTTTTTTTTTTTTTTTTTTGGCACCAGGGATCAAACTCAGGACCTTGTGTTTTCGAGGCAGACGGCACACCACCGAGCTAAATCCCTAGCCCCAGGCTATGCCATTTTCAAACCAAATTCCTAGTTACTAACCCAGTTCTGGAGAGGGGCACTGGGACATGTGGGGCTGAAAAGGGGCGACAGCCTTCTTGTATCAGAGAAAGTGACAAAATGGGCATTTTAAAAATGAATTTCCCATCTGACTTTATTTCCAAATAACTTTTTTTTCTTTTTTAAAAAAAACCAATACATTCTCTGTGGGAATGACAAATATCAGTATTAGGAAATCCAATTATACAAAAAATACTACATCTAGTCTGGGGTAGATATATTTATTTTTGGTAACATACATTAAGTGGCACTAATTACATAGTAACTATAAGGTAACTAACATGAAACCACAGAACTGTAACTGCCACAGCTGCATGGACTTGGGGCTTCTGGCTGAGCATGTTCTCAAAAAAACTGGATGCCCACCCCAGAGCTAGGCCAATGAACTCCATGAGGAGTAAGGCTCTGAAGTGAGGACTCCTTAGAGTTCCCTGCAACTGACAGATTATAAAGGCAGGACATGTTAGTTAAAAAGTAGTTACAGCCTAATTCAAAAAAGTTACCAACTGTTTCTCTTTCTAGAAAGAAGAAGTTAAGAAATTCTTTGAATTAGCGCCTGGTGTGTCAGGTGGAGTGCAGAGAGGGCTGTTAGAGCAGTGTCAGAAGGATCCTGGCAGGTCAGATGGATTGGACATCATTAATAATCATTGCTGGCTTCTAAATACTGGTAGCAAGATGACTTCTGATTTGTAATCTTAGGTAAATTATAGATAAATGAAAAAGGCCAGTAATCATACACTAAGATTAATAAACAGCACTTCAAAATTAACCGCATGAGGGCTGTGCTTGCAGCAAGGTTTCACAAGACAAGGCACCCAGATTTTTTCTTCCCACGCCTGGCTTGCAGAGCAGCTCTTGTGGCCATTTCAAAAACCTCCCTCACTCCATCTTTGGTCTTCGCTGAACATTCCATGTACCCAAAGGCGCCAATCCTGTTTGCCATATCTCTGCCTTCTTCAGGTTTTACTGGCTCCTGGCAAAGAGAAAAGAGTGCTTTCAGCTAAGTGTTACATACATACCCAACGTAGATGCAGAATATTTACATTCAACTAAAAGTCGTGGAGAAAGGATCACGCTATTCAATAATCATCCCTCCCCAAGTAAACACACACTCTTTTCTGGGAAATAGAAAGAAGAGGTCAGAGCAGCCCTAGAAGATTAAAGAAGGAATCTAAAGCAAGCCTTTAGGTGTTCCTGTAGTTAGCTTTACAGAGAACTGAATGCGAAGCGATGGAACCAGGGCCTGCTTTTGACATTCAGGCAGAGAAACTGCAAAGGGTTTTGTTTTTTTTTTTGTTTTTTTTAGAGAAAGGGTCTCACCATGTAGTTCAGACTAGACTGGAACTTACTATGTAGTCCAGGCTGGCCTCAAACTCACAGCAATCTTTCTTCCTCAGCCTCCTGAGTGCTGGCATCACAGGTATGTGGCACCAAACCCAGTATTTTGTTTTTGTGGGGCTGGGGATGGGACCCAGGGGCTCACACATGCTAGACAAGTGCTACATCCCTGACATTAGGCCACAGCCTTTTGACAGGCCACAATCCCACACCTCTACCATCACTTAAAGGCGTTAGAGCTTTCTGGACTTTGTGCTTTCAGGTTTTCTAATCACTCAGTAGTTACTAATTTATCTTTGGCCTCATAAGTACAAGTACTCAGGTGTAAAGGAAATCAAAAGCCTGATAGGGCTGGGGATTTAGCTCAGTGGCACTGAGCTTGAAGGCAAGCGCAAAGTACTGAGTTCAATACCTGGTACCAAAAAAAAAAAAAAAGCCCGATGAAGCTCCTGCATCAAGGCACTAACTAGGATGTTTCCGTCCTGGGCTGGTAGTCCTTGAGGGCACACTTATAGGAGACATTCCAGGTTGTGGATATAGCTCTGTAGTAGAGCACTTCCCTAGTATGCATGTGCACAGTTCAGAGTTCATTTGCCCAGAAAAGAAAAAAACATACCCAGAGAGACGCACTGGGGTGGGTTGTTTTTTGTTTTTTTGAGGCAGGAGGGTCTTTTTTTTTCTGGTACCAGGGATCAAACTTGGGTCCTTGCGCTTGCACAGCAGGCAGTGAAACTACTGAGCTAAATCCCAGGCCCTGGAGGGTCTTGCTATGTACTTCAGACTAACCTCAAACTATGTAGACCAGGCTGGTCTCAAACTCCGTGATCCTCCTGCCTCAGCCTCCTGAGTGTTGGGATTACATGCTTGCACCACCATCGGTTCCTACAGGAGGTTTCTCTATGTGAATGTTAAGTGAGAGTGGTCATGGGCACCCAAGTTCAAGAATGCTTTAGGAAGGCTGGGTGTGGTGACACATGCCTCTGATCCCAGCACTCTGGAGGCTGAGGCAAGAGGACTGCTGTGAATTTGAGGCCAGCCTGAGCTACACAGTGAGTTCAAGGTCAGCTTGGATGACACAGTGAGACTCTGTCTCAAAAGAAAAAAAAGAATGCCATACCTGCTTCATCTTGGCTAACTCCCGTCTTGTGTGCTCATCGTTCCGAAGATCCTTCTTGTTTCCAACCAGGATAATGGGTACATTGGGACAGAAATGCTTTACTTCTGGGGTCCATTTTTCTGGGATGTTTTCTGTGAGAAGAAAAATGCACAAAATATGGGAAACTATTAAAATTCCACCTTTAAAAATCTTCAAGAGACCTAGTTAATTTAAAGACACTACCATTGCTACTTTAGAAGTATGCTGGACATTTAGCCAGGCATGGTGGTACCCAGCTAGAATCCCAGGATAGCTGGGGGAGGCTGAGGCAGAATATTACAAAGTGCAAGCCCAGCCTGGGCAACTTAGTAAGACCCTGTCTCAGTATTTATTTATTTTGGTACTGGGGATCGAACTCAGGACCTTGTGCTTGCGAGGCAGGCTCGGTGCCACTGAGGTAAATTCCTGGCCCTGTCTCAATAATTTTAAAAAGGCTGAGGCTATAGCTTAGCACAAGGCCCTGGGTTCAATCCCTAGTACTGAGGGGGAAGGGGGGATTAAAAACCAGAGTGTAACAAAACTATACTGGACAGTTAATGGAAACCCACTGGTTTTAAAACCACACCAAAGGCAAAAGAGTCCCTTCCATAAACATCCTCTCTCAATTGCACCAAGAATGTTGACTTTCTCTGTATTTGGGGCCCAAGTAAAGGGACTGGGGTGCATATCTTCTTTTTCTACCTTGCTCATGGGCCCAGAGAGTGCATTTTGCCCTGTGGGTTACTGGCTTTTCTTTTTTTTCTTTTTCTTTTTGGCTTTTCTTTTTTTGATAGAGTCTCTACATGTAGTCTAAACTGGTCTCAAACTTATGATCCTCTTGTCTTAGCCTCCCAAGTGCTGTGATTACAGGCATGTGACACTATGCTGGCTCAGTTCCTGGTATTTAAAATGGCTCAAACCAGGCAAGGAGAGGCACACCCATAATTCCAGCACTGGGGAGACTGAAGCAGGATGATTGCTGTGAGTTTGAGGCTAGCCTGGGCTACATAGTTCAGGTCAGCCTGAACTACATAGTGAGACCCTGTCTTTAAAAAAAAAAAAAAGGCTCAAAAATGACTTTGAAAGTAATTAGAAAATAGTTGGGGGGGCTGAGGATTTAGCTCAGTGGCGCTGTGCTTGCCTCGAAAGCACAAGGTCCTGAGTTTGATCCCCAGTACTGAAAAAAAAACCCCCGAAACCAACCAAACAAAACACCCCCAAACCCAACCAAACCAAAAACCCAAAAACCCAAAAGATAGTTGGGCATGGTGGCACACAGCTGTAATCCCAGAAATCTAGAAGGCTGACCCAAGTGGATCCCAGCCCAAGTTCAAGCTCAGTGTGAAGGTCCTGGGTTCAACCCTAATATGGAGGTGGGGGTGGGGAGTGGCTCTTCATGATTTCCCCCCTGTATTCCTCTATTTAATCTTTGCTCCACAATCACAAAGCATGAGGAAAATTTTTCCTTACACCTGTAGTGGAACCCTTAGGAGTGGACAATAACTACTTAGGTCTGTCAAAGATTCTAGCTTTAAATTAACATTAGCTTTCATTTTTTCATTGGATTTTGTGTGTGTGTGTGTGTGTGTGTGGTACTGGGGATCAAACTCAGGACCTTGCGCTTGTGAGGCAGGCACAGTGCCACTGAACTAAATCCCCAGCCCAAATTTTTTACACATTGGCTTTTTTTTTTTTTTGGTGAAGCTTTCATTTACTTTCTTTCCTCCTCCTTTTATTTAGCCCTAGGGATTGAACCCAAGACCTTGTATGTGCTAGGCAAACATTTGCTCTAGCACTGAACTGTAGTCCCCCTCATCTTACTTATTATTATTTTATTTGTTTTGTAGATAGGGTGTTGCTATCTAGTTCAGGTCAGCCTTGCTATAGTCCAGCTCAACCTCCTAAATGCTGGAATGACAAGCATGTGCCACCATGCCTCTCCCAGCCATCCCCCACCCCACCCCAGCCCTTATGTTTTGTTTTTTTTGTTTTTTGGTAGTGGGGATCAGGGTCCTTGCCCTTTTAAGGGAGGTGGCGGAAACACTGAGCTAAATCCCCAGCTCCTTGAGCCCTTATGTATCCCAGGCTGGCCTTGAACTTATGGCAATCCTCCTGCCTCAGCCTCCAAAGAGTGCTTAGATTACAGGAGTGCACCACCATTCCAGGTGAGAAGTTAAACTTTTCACACATTTTATTTAGGCAAACTACTGGTGGAATTTCACCCCATTCCCTAATAAAAGTAATGCTGAACTTTTGTAGAAGCCAGGTGTAGCGGCACATGCCTGTAATCCCAGCACTCTGGAGGCTGAGGCAACAGGATTGCCACAAGTTGGAGGCCAGCCTGGACTATATAGCAAAACCTGTCTCAAAAAAACACAGCTAAAGGGGCCAGAGATTTAGCTCAGTGGTTGCGCTGCCTGCCCTGCAAGCACAAGGACCTGAGTTCGATCCCCGGTACCAAAAAAAAAAAAATTTTATCAGCTATCATGTGCTAACATTAGTTGCCTATGAACTAGCACAAACAATGAACAAGTGGGAT